TCTTTTTGTCCAACCTTGGTCAGTCGATTTCACATAACATTGGCCCTCTTGATCAACCGATTCACAATGTTTGTCCAACGAGTTGATGGAAAAGTTTTTTTCTCTCAAAACGAAAAAAACTTTTTTCTCTGCATTTTTTTTCAGTTAATTGTTTTCTTGTCCAGACAATTGATATTGATAATGATTTCTCTTGACTCTTCATCATGATAATCAAAGTGCTGTTGATTGAATGATCAGATTAAATGAATATTTTACTTTCGTTTTTTTTCATTTCTTTTCCTTCTTTTCATTAGTTGCACAATCTAACGATGCTTGATGAGAAGAGGCAAGTTATCATTGATTATAATGACTTGTGTGATAAGGTAACTGAAAGGGTTGAAATGTATGAGGAAAAAAAGAGAAGGAAAGAAAAGCAGAATTGCTTCAATGTTTATCGTTACAATCATCATTTTACTTCCGATGGTAAAGAGAGAAGAGAGAGAGAAAATTGATAACCTTGTTCCATCAGTTAAGGAATGAAGAAGCAAAATTCGTATCAAATCAACCTTTTTCATCAGACTTTATTCCACATAACCAAGTTTTACTCTGATAAATGAAATTGCATGATAGTCAGGGAAGAAGAAGAAGAAAAGTCAACAGAAAAGGATGTCTTCATTGATGTCTCAAAGTGTAATTACGATTGTATTCGTTGATAATTGAATGTTTATTGAAAAGAAAAGCACGAGTTTTAATCAACTTTAAAATGCTATTCAACGTACATAAAGTTCATTATTCATTGAGACGCACAAATCATGACAATTTCATCTTTTCCCATCAAAATGTCATCTAAATCAATGTTCAAGGGATTTCTCCTTGCGAAGAAAAATTCATTTTCAAAAGTTTTTCTTTTCATTTTACTCTTTTACCTTTGCTTTCAATTTCGTGTAAAAGGTCAAGAAAAATTAGGTTGGTGTGACCACTGAATTAATTTCAATACTTTTACTTCAATTGATCAACTCGATAAATTGTTTCATTTAAAGTTGATAAAAGTTTGCAATAAAATTTTGCAATGTAAATAAATTTGCTTTTAAAATTGAAATCTTTACTAATGGCAATGCAAAATGATGGAAACTGAAGGTTAATGGCTGAGTTTTGAAAATTATAAAAACTGAACAATACAAATATTCATTATGATTTATGGCGAAGAAAGGAAATTGTATAAAACGGAAATGAAATATTGTGACAAACTTTACTCTAATAATTACAATGATGACTGGGATTGGGTGAAAAGTTGAAAAACAAGTTGAATTTGTTGCAAATTACACGAGAGTTTACTCTTTTTTATTCAAAAATACAGGGTTCCAACGATGTTTTGCAAATGAGGAAAAGTTTAATAATTCCAGATTTCATGTTTCAACTTGTATGAAAATGAAAATTCTGCTGACCATTTCATTAATTATTTAAATTATCTTTTGCATTCTATTTTCATTAGAAATATCAAGGTTTGCTAATCACAAAATTAATGACACTTAATGGATTCAAAACAGTTCTCTGTCCACCCAGAATTTCAAAGTTTTCAATCCTCTTTTCTATTACTTAAGATTCTTTTCTAAAAACGGAACATTTTCCTGTGATAGTCATGGAAATTTAGAGAATTTTTCTTTTTTAAGAAAATGGTGATCATGAAATCAGTTGAATTGTTCAGAATTTGAGCAATAAGTTGAAGAGTAGATAATCTGAGGAAGTGTTCAGGTTTTATTCCAGCATGTGAACCCTGAACTTTAGTTGATTTTGCATCAACATTTCCCTTCATCGTTAGAAATTGAAAATTTCAAAAGTTGATTGTCAGTCAAAAAGTAACTAATTAAAGTGGCGTAAAAACTGAGTTGACATGAATGGAAACATTGTTTACAAATTGATAGCCAAATGGACTGGAATGACCAGAAAATGGCAATCATTTTGGATGAATTGTTCAAGGGTTCAACTTATAGTTTCACCTTTTTTGTCATTTCAAAGCATTTAAAGAGCAGGTCAAGTAATTAATCAAATACAATTTTGTACGAGTTGCTTTGGTTTGTTCAATCTTTTGTTTTATTTCATTGAAACATATTCATTGCTAACAATGGCTACAATTGTTTCACCTTACACACTGTTCATGTTCATTCATGATAAAATGATTTGAAAAGAAATGTGTGAACAGAATATCGACCGATTATTTGTAGAATTTTTCATTCAATTAATTTGAGCTATTATTGAGTTAACTGATTAAAAGATTCTCATGCTTTAGATTCGATCGACCAACAAGAATTTCAATTTATCGCGAACATATTTCATGAATCTATCCATTCATAACAAAAAATCGCCAAAAATTGAACTTAATTTGACAGTTAGTGTTAGTTTCCAAAAGGACAAAGACAATTGTAAAAGAACTGGTCATATAAGTGTATCAATCTAAATTGCTCAACGAAATCATGTAAAATATGAAAAAACAGAAAATATTTTTTCTGGGAAACTGAATTCCATAAGCTATGCACATCAACAATGAATTGAATAAAATTGTGCCTCAAAAAGCCACAGGTTTAGAACATCTCAAGAATCAGAATGAAAAGTTCTATCTGAAAAACCAGGTTCGTTGTGGTGATCATGAGGTCTCAAGGAATTTGTCGAATAACTCTTCAGGGAATACGAATTTCGAATCTTTAAAGAGACTTAATATATTCTTTATAAGCTTTCGATTGGTTCATGGTTAGTTATGGTCCATAATATTCAGGTGAATAAGCTGAAAATCCAACACTTTGGCTTTCTCTTTTAGACTCATTCGAAGTCATATATCAATCTAAATCAAACAACGAAGCAATAAAAGCTTACAACAGAAAATATTTATTTCTGGTAAACAGAAGAAACAGATTTCATGAAGAGATTTATTTTTGAAGAAAACATCAAACAGGGATTGATGCGTAGTTTTGATGTTATCGTTGTACTGGGAGTTTCACACCTGAAATATGGAATTTCATTCAAGTTTAAATTTTTCTCTAAACTCAACTTGGAACCAATTTTTTCTGCTAACAAATCACTTGATCATTACTTGTAATATCAACCATTATTGTCATCTTTACTGCCATTATCTTGTCGTGATATGCTGATAGTTTGAATCTGGTTTGACTAGTAATTACATTTAATGATTAACCAAGCAAAATTTCCATGTTTATCTAATAATGCAACCACTCATGAGTTTCATGATTAACATTCATTCCAAATCCTGTTGCAAACGTAAACAATTTTGCTTCCCATTTACCAGTCAAAAGCAGCCTGATTGATAATCATTTTATAGACGAAGAGAGGAGAAAAAAATTGATGCATTTCATTGATGAAGATATTGTCTTGAAACAATAATTGTATTAGCAAACAATCTCCATGGAAAATGCACCGAGAGAGGAATCAAGAAAAAAAAGAGATTTCACCATGTTGTGCAATCTATCCTGTATTACATGGTTAACAATGAAAACTGGCCAATCTGAAAATTATCAGTTTCCATCAATGAAGTTGACTCTGTTTCGATTACCATTAATTAGATTGCGATGCCTTGAGATGTAACATTAATCATGATTCATTACACCATGTACCTTGATACCATTTGCATAAACTGAGAAAACAATGGTTAATTAGTAATGATATGAAACCAATTAAACTCAAATGAGTTGATTAAATTTCATCGATTCCTTCAGTTTCATAATCAATCCATTAATCTCATTCCAACTCAAGGTTTCAATGTTCACAACTTGACTTTCGATGTACCTTGAGGGCTCAGTAAATTGACTATTTAATCATACAATAGCGAGATGATTTTCATCACTTTTGTTCAACTCATTTTCAATTAGCTAAAACTGGTGAATGTGCCATTTTTTGAGAACATTTTGCAACATTCACTCTTGTCTTGAATTCTGATTTTTGGAAAATGTTGCTCTCTTATTGTATGCAAGATGAATCAGATAAAGTTAATCAAGAGAACTCGTAGTGTTTCTTGTTATCTGAGTAAGATGAAAGACAGGATCAATGAGTGGGATTGAAAAATGAAGGAAAACTCATTGAATGTTAATTGAACTTTCAATGATAATATCAATAAGGAATATCTCTCGTTTCATTCAATGAACAGAAGACTTTTACAGTAAAGGTTAAGAGAAAAGGCAATCAATTTAATATCATGTGAAACCAGATGAAAGGATAACAACATCAAAAGAATAGGTTAGACGGGCTAACAAGCCATTCTCATGGCGATCATTTCTTTCGGCGAAATTTGATGCTCAAAATGTGATGAAATTTTTTGCATTGATTTCGAATCAATTTGTCTGTTCAATTCATCATCTTTTTTTACATTAAGTTAATTCTGAACCAGACTGGTTTCGAAATAGTTTTCATCTTGTTGCTTAAGCTGAAAATATGAGATTAGTTGATATTTCAACATTTGCTTTGATTGATACATATTAATTGCAGCAATGAGGATATTAAGAAAGATTATGATAAATGTATTGAAAAGTTGAATGTCGTTATTTGATCTGAAAATAATCAACAGAAACCAATACAAATACAGTTTTACTGGTTTTACCTTTTCTCTTCTTTTCCTTTTCCCTTCTTGTCAAGGAGTTGCACTTGTTTCATGTCAATCACATATTCTTCCGGTTAACCTGAAATCTTGCATTCAATACCAGAACATAAAAGAGTATGACAACAACTCTCACGCAGAATGAGCCTGTCTTCTTGCAAGAAGAAACAAAAAGGATAAAGTGACCAGTTGAAAGAGATAATATTGAAATAAAACATGAGAATAATATCTGAATGTGATTCACTGCGCAATCAATAAATTATTCATGCACCAGTAGTTTTAACATGGAATCCTGTCAGTTTTCAGCAAAACCAAAGAAACGGCGAAAAGAGATTAAACACTAATTTGGAAACATCGACATTGCCACAGAATATTTCACATTTTGTACAGAAACCGATTCGTTTGAATCGAAACAACTTACTCACTTGCCACATCGGCCAATACAGTTGACCATTTGAATGAAGCTCCCTAAATGCTTCATTTCATGTCTTTTCTGTCTTTTCCCAATTACGATGGAGAGAGATGATCCTTTCATTTTACTCCATTCAACCATGATAGTCAAAAGGTTGCTACAGTGGTTTGACCAACTTCAAGCAACACAATTTGATCCTTGTAGAGTAGAGTTGAACCAGTCCAGAAACTGTTTTTAATTAGAGTCATTGACTGGTGTCAGGACAAAGCATATCACTCACTTAATACTTAAACTCAATATGAAGGAACTTGATAATTTTAAATTCACGAAATAAAGTAAAGGTTCAGGAATTGGAATTAAATAATCTAAGACATTGACGACTAATTTTTAAGAACCAAAAGGAAATGAATGATTCATGTTTTAACCTTTAAAGGAAGCACAATGTGGTTGATAACATAACCATGTTAACCAAAAAGCAACTCTTTGATGTTAACTTGTTAGCGCGTAATTCAACTTGAACAATTTTCAGTGTTTATTTGTTAAAGAGGATTGTTTATTTATAATTGCTCTCATCAACATTTATCTATTAGGTGCTTTTAAATTCATATCTGCTTTCATATGTCATGATGAAAAGAAAAGCCAACAAAAATTATATTCCATCAATTTGTCTGGTTCGTTGGATGATAAACATTCTTTGCATTATTCACTTTGACTTGTTCAGATCAATTTGTAATGTTTCTTAATGACATTATATCGATAATGGAATAAAAAGGCAAATCAAGAACAGATAGCGTGATATTTATGCCTATATCAGATGGAAATGCGACTTGGAGAATTTCGTTGAATTCCTTATCAGTTGAAGCATTCATTTTATGGCAAATTTTCTCTCCCGCCATCTTCTATTCTCATGAATTGCAATTCAGTCTCTCTTGTGATGTCATTAAAAAGCATCATTAATGAATACCTTTTTATCAATTCATGTAATTTCTGACCCTTTGCATGCAATGGTTAATGTTAACTTTGAATACATTTTGGGTTCTTGACATTATTTGCTCATTTGATTTCAATTATTACGAATAGCTAACGAAATGAACCATTTCATTGGACACAAAATTTCGATGCATAACATATTTGACTGTCTTTCTGGGCAAACAAAATCATCAAAAGCCCAGGCGCTGAATCGAAAAGAATCGAATCTTTGCATCAGATTCGGACATTTAACTTGTACAGACTCATGCACAGTTCAATTGTGAAAACCTTAGATCCATGAGAAACTGTTGTCATCTTTTTTTATCCAAAGTTGAACAATCTGACGAGTTGATTAATTTCCATGTGTAAATGATTGGAATCGATGAAAGTGAAACATTTGCAATATATTTACAGATCAGTTGCAAAATGTACGGTAAAGGTGAAGACAGCAAAAGGAAAAACATGATAAAATAGAATGAGCAAAGTTTCTGTGCTCTCAGTCGATTCGATGAAATACCGACCCACCCACGATATAACTAGTTATAAGTTAGATTAGTTTGCATGTTCATTAATAATCCTGTCAAGTAACCATCAATCATACGTTAACATTGGACAAAACTTGGTTATAAGAGGAGTGTCACAAGTTATTAACATTGTCATCTATTGTTATTACCATTACTAATGCTCACTCCAACTCCTTTTAACAATATTATTATACTTCATTTGGTTCCATCTTTCTTTTCACCAAAAAATTCGAAACTCTTCACTTTCCATTCTCCAACATCAGGTGATGCACTTTGATAAAATCAACATTCTCTGATGTTCCAATATCGATTCACCCATTTCTCAGTCAATTTTGCAATTCATAAATCGATTCTTTATTACCAACAAAGAAACTGAAACAATGAAAATATTTGTTCTCATTTCGAAATAAACATTTTCTATTTTCACACTTGATCAAGTTGTCCGTGAAATGAGTTCCAAACCAATGATAAACTCGCCTTTTTACTTATCACAATCAACAGTTGTCATTCCCTGTCCATCAACAGGGAATGTTGACCAGTGTTTGCAAACAACTTGAAACTTGTTAAACTCTTCTTGATCTGTTTGGAATAAAGAAGTAAATAGAACTGAGATGAAACTAGATTTTTTAATCATCTGACTGAGGAACCATTAACTGAATTAAAATAACATGATCTAGAAACGAATTGTCATTAATCAAAAATAGTGAAACGACCCAAAAACAAAAAGTCTGAATGGTAAAGAAATGTTGAGAGAAGTGGTTAGTTTCATGAAAGTTTCATTTTTATTCCAAATTCAATTGCAAAATAATCACATGTTAATCATGATCATTGCGTGAGCAACTGTTAACAACATTTGGTTATGTTAAATTGAAAAAGAAATGTTCATCAATTGCATTTCCATGAAATTAATTGAAACTTTACTTTTTCGTTCTCTCTCTGTTCGTTTCTCTTTTCCCTCATTTTGTGTGCAACAATTTTAACCATGTATGGATTATTATGCAGATTAAAGTGTAAAAATGTTTACTTTGATTGACACTTGATTTTCACTGATTACTTTTAACTTTTCTGCCGAAATCAAAGTGAAATTAAATTTGCATCAATTGAATCATGAAAGCTGTAGTAATGAAACGAAAATTATTGTTGCAATCAAAAAGCTAGGCAAAGATCAAAATTTAACCTTCTTGTTCAATTTGCTATTTATTGTCTTATCAAAATTGAATTAGTTGCAATGAAAAGGCCAAAAGAGAAGCAAAGAAAATCGAGAAAAAAGACTGGAAATTGATTTGCAGTTTTTCACACTTTTATCCCATCGAACTTTTCGTCAGACAAAATCATCTAAATGATAATACCTCAAAGTTATTCATGCTTTGTTCGACAATTAAAGTGTAACACAAGATAATTGATTTCGACTGTGCAAAAGTAATCACTTATTCAGAGTAAAGTCAACAAATTGAGTAAACAATTTCAGCTTCCTTGAGCCTTGAATCTACAAGAATCTGAATCTGTTTGTAGAGTCTAGTTGTTTGCCTGAACATGGAATAAAAGTAAAAAGTTTTTAAACAATTTTCAAGTAAATTCGATTGAATGTTCGACTTTAATTTTTCGACACTTTTTCATATCTTCTTGCAAAACTTTTACTTCGATTGCAAGTAAACTTTGATTTTATTATTTCAAGTTATTGCGTCTTTCATCAATTGGATAGCTGAATGTTTCGTTTGATTCGTTTATTTGGATTTGTGCACTTTTTTGCATTTACTTTGCTTTTCCTATTAAAGTAATGATTCTTGAATTATTGATTATTCATTGTCTCACTCTTTGCCTTGCGATTCTGTTCGTTTCATCTTTAATTATGATTTGAGGAATGAAAACAATTTCATTGGCTTTCATTTAATTTGCTTTTGCATAACATCCAAAGTGCATTTATACATACTCTAACATGATCCATTAGATCAATAAAGATGGTCAATAAAACAATCAACATTTCTTTTATTCTAATAACTTTACCTTTTCGTTGTTTCAATCTCATTATATTTGTCTCACAAAAGACTTTCCCTAATCAGGTTATAACCTTTCTGCCTTTTCCTTTGGTTCTTCCCTTGCGATCCTGTCTCAGGCAAGATGGACAATATCAGATTTGGTTGAGAAGTAAAAAAAGCAGATTTCAATATTTCTCGCCATTTCAAAGTCAATTTGAACCAATTTTCGTCTTACTCTGTTGGTCACTTACTTGTACAACCTTTTGACATAATCGATAAACTTTTTGCTTCGCTTTCAATCTAAAGGCTAATTATTGATCCAGTCTAGTTGTCATCGTCCAAGACTAATCAAGGGATAAAGTATTGAAGCTCAAATGACTGAGAGTAAAAAATGATGAATTACTCATGATATTGAGATGCAAAGGACAACTTGTAAAGGTTTACCAACATGGTCAAGTGCAAGTTAAATAATCAAGGATAATATTGATTCTCATGTTTAACCAAGTGTTTACCAGCTGAATTGAGCCATGATCAGTCTTGACAGTGGATCAACAATGTTTACAAACAACAGAAAACTTCGAAGAAAACAAAAGGCAATATCGTAATTTGGTGAAACGAGAAGACATCACGAGACAAACGAAACTCTCCATCCATGAAGAGCAAAGAGTTTTGTATCACTTGTTTGATCATTTACTAAATGAAAAGTCTAACTCATTCCAAGCTTTCACTAAATCCAAAATCATCAAATTCGTTCATCTTTCTTCTTTCAAACTTCAACCTTAAAGTATCAATTTACATAATTTACTTTTGCAAAAACTCATGTTCGATAATTGAACTTGCAAACTGAAAATCCTTCAAAGGTTAATGAATAATGTGAATAACACAATGACAGCAGAATGCATAAATTACTCGCTTTGCTTTCACTCGACTCTCAAATTCCTTCTTGTACATTTCTAATTATCAGCGAATGTTTACATTTTTAAAACGACTAAATTCATGTGAAAATAATTGATGAATGAAATTATTAAAAGATGACGAAAAAGATTAAGATCGAAACTTAAAATAGATGCAAATGGAGAGGTTTATCAGGCTGGAAAGGAAACATCACTGAATCGCTTCTCTGTTGCAATGTTTTTCTAACTTTATTTTTACTTTACTTGCAAATGATTTTGGTTGACTTTTAATTATACCGAAAAAGAGATGAATTATGATTAAAATTTGAAATGAGCTTCCAAGTATTATCCTGAGAAAATGAGTTTACTAATTTCAAGCAACTTTATCAGATTTTAACTCATCCAATTTCTTGTCCAAATTTTGTACATTAGCAACAAACTTGATCAGTAGCTTGAAGATTTAATTAGTTGCTTTTGCGACGAAATGAAAACTAATAAAAGTAGAAATGCTAATCAAAGTTAAGTTGCAATATTTTTACAAAAGTTAACATCAAGGTTGTCTCTTCATTTAGATTCAATCAACAAGTCATCTTTTATTCGTTCAACTTCATTATACCAACGATAAATTATTCACTACCAAACAGAAGACACAAGTCTCAATAATTGAATTATAAAACTTCATCACCTAACACTGAAAAGCAAAAGTTAATGTAAAATGAAAATTCAAAAGCAATGAATGTCTTCAACTTTTACGTCGTTATTTCATTTTTTATTGACTTTGCGATTGCAAGTCAATTTTAAAGTCGTTTCCATAGAACATAACTTTTTAATTTATGTTTTCGGGTTCGACTAAACATTCATAAGATTTTGCTTGGACAGCAACTGACGAAAGTGAACCTTGCAATCATAAATGGACATTATTATCGTCGCAATTTGAAGAGAATTATTGATTTTTCTCATTCTGTGGCTTATTAAAACTAAAGATAATTCTTACAAAGTATAATAACTTTTAGTCTCAACTAATATCAAGGTGTGTCTTAAGACTATCATGCAGATGATGAAGGAGT